TGCTCGAGGGCAGGCGCAATGGCAGCCGCCCTGTGCCCTACCACGGGCTGCGTCGGGCGGTGCAGGTGAGCTCCCCATAGCACGGTGGGAGAGTCCATAGACAAGGGCTCCGCCCACCCCCGCTGTGCAGTCTTGGGCAGCCTTGAACCCTTTCCGAGCCTTATTTTCTGCACCTGTCAAATGGGGATGACAGAGGGCCCTGGGGAGGTGAAGTGAAGGGGGGCCTGCGATGGGCTCACACACGATGCAAAATTAGCAACTAGGCTATCTGTCCTGTCTGTCTTGTTTTGTCTTATTCTCGGCGCCTGCAACAGGGTCTGGCACACAGCAAGTGTCAATTAGTATTTAGACTTGAAGGAAAAAATATAGGTAGCCCTGAGCACAGAGTTCTTCTGAAGCCCAGAACCCCCACCTTCGGAATCCACAGTTGCGATCCAGCCGTTACTTAAACAGCGCTATCTGCACAGGGAGCTGTGTGAAGTGTTTCACATGTATTATTCCAATGAATTCTCACAGTAGTTCTAGGAGATCGGCACTGTTACTATCCCCGCTTACAGAGGAGAAAACTGAGGTCCAAGATAGTATCACTCGCCCAAGGTCTCACAGGTCATAGGTCCTGGTCATCTAGTACCTGAACCTCTAACCCACAGGGACCCAGACGCCCACCCCCTCTGTCCACTGACTCCCAGGAGAACTTAGGCACTCCCCCTTCTGACTTCTCACCTTTGACTTTTAGGGACCTAAGCTGCCAGACCCTGGCTTGCAGGTGGGAGGGGAGACATTTATGAATGTATGTGTGTGAGTATGTATATTGTCCCTCAGGTTGTCATGCACAGCCTGGGCCAGAGGTGTTTAAGCTTTTCCCGAGCAGAGACATTGGCACAGCTGAGGGTCACAGAACCCCAAGTGTCCGGCGTGGGTGACCGGCAGTGGTTGTACCAGACATGTACTGAGTTCGGCTTCTGTGAGTGCCTGGCCCAACCCTCCTCTGATAACCTTAAAAAAAAAAAAGCCTATTGAAGTGATAGGTGATGGGCAATAAGCATTTATTTGTGATCAATAAGAATACCTGTATGAGAAGTGCTGATTCAAGCAGAAACTTAAATAGTTTTCCAACTATGAGACAAAGGCAATGGTTATTTATGAAAAAGAAAGGGAACAATTACATCAACAGAAGGAAGGCATTTATTTCTATTGGTCCAGATAAGCTAACATAGTACATGCGCATTCTAAACAACGTTTTAATTTTCAGCCCATCACAGCCCTGTCGTTCTGGGCCATCACTGTCCGGGGTGCGGGAGGTGCCTCTCCAACAGGGCTGTGAATTCATTGGTCGTTGTGGGGAGAGCTCAGCGATAACTGAAGGAGGCTGGGGGTGGGGCTTATACCCCACACTTACAGATAGCTCCCTCCACAGATGTCACCTGTGAGGACCCCACCTGTCCTTTCTCCAGACTCCCCGCACTGCCCTCCCAGCTGGAGCTGTGTGAGCAGGTGTTTGGGCTTTCAACCTGGTCCACAGTCCAGGCTGTGGCTCAGACCAACTCCTACTACGGTGGCCAGACCCCAGTGGCTACCCAGGTGCTGTTCGTGAATGGTGAGTATGCCATCAGAACCTGACCTCAAAGTCTCCAGCAGGCCCCAGCTCAGCACACCATTTCCCCTTTCTTCCCAGGGGATATGGACCCCTGGCATGTGCTGAGTGTCACTCAGGACTTGGGGCCCTCCGTGTCAGCCCTTCTCATTCCCAATGCCTCTCACTGCTTGGATATGGCACCTGAGCGGCCCTCAGACACCCCCAGCCTCCGCCTAGGGCGCCAGGTAAGACGACAACAAAAAGCCCTGGGTGATTTACATTTTCATTTGCATACTAATGTGCATGCTCCTGCCCTCACTAGTACTGGGATCTGACTTTCAAAATTCTTCCACCTCTTTACAGAGCATCTTGCAGCAACTGCAGACCTGGCTCAAGCTGGCAAAGAAGAGCTTGGTTAGGGGTGGGGTCTGAGCCCAGCACCCTCGTCACTCCCTGCAGCCGACCTCAGACCAGGACATATTTGTTCACTGGACAGGAGAAAGCAGCATGTTTAAGAAGAGGAAATTCCCAGGAATTGGCATTCAGCACCTGTTCCGCATATAACTGACTTGTGTATGCAACCATCCTCACTCCCAGCTAAAACAGCTCTGTTACAGACAAGAAGTTCTGCAAATATAACTGGGTGATTATTCTCATTGTGGATGTTGGTATTTTAATGGCAAATGTCAGAGAAATGTCACTGTTCATGCTGGTGCCCTCCCCCCACTAATCAGATTCTGGCTCACATTCTGCTCTGCTGCCAGGCGGGCACCTTCTGCACGTCTCTCTCTGGCCCTCAGGCCCTGCCCTGCCTGCTTCCTGCTCTGCTCATTAAAAGGCATCCTTAAGAAATGGAAAGACAAGTGAAAGAGTGAGTGAAAATGTGCATAATACACATATCTGACAAAGGACTTGGGTCCAGATTTTTTAAAGAAATCCCAGAAGCCAATAATAAAAAGATGAGTGGATGGCAAATGGGCAAAGCACTTGAATAAGCACTTCAATTTTAAAAATACCTGTATAGGTCTATTGATGAACTAATCCGTGTGTCATTGAAATCTCCTTACCTAAGGGCTACTCCAGCTCAATAAAAGATTGGAGCGGCCTGAGCATTGGTGGAAGTCCTTCTGGACTTGCCCGCCTGGTCCCCCAATATTTCAAATTTTTTTCTAAAAAAATACCTGTATAAAAAACAAAGAAAAAAATACATGTATGGTCAATAAGCAGACCAAAAAGATGCCCAACCTGTTTAGTCATTAGAGAAATGTGAATTAAAACCACAGTACTACTTTACACCCAACTGAGTTAGAAGCAAATAAAACAAAACCCCCTAAAAGTTCAAAAGGTGACGATGTCACCCTGCCTAGTTTTGGAGAATTTTGGACTCAGGTTTTGAGTTACATTTGATTATGAGTCATAGAATGTCCATATTTTTATTTTAACAAGAAATGTGAGAAAAAAGTGCACTGTGAATGAAAAGGTACTAAAAGAAAAATCATTCAAAAGTATTAGTTTTGGGGACACCTAGGAAAGAAGTATGTGACTCCGCTATTCCTGCTAAGCAAGCATTCAGCATGGTGTTTCCATAGTGTGGTGCTTATCACATTCGCCTGACACGCGGAAGGTCCCGGGCGGAAACAACCCTTGCTTAAGGCCTTTTGTATTTGCATTTCTCCTCTAAATGCCTAAGCCTTCGAGGTTTCCAAAAAGTCCTCCTCAGAGGAGCACCTCTGAGACCACGTCCTCATTCAAGCTGTCAACCTGGGAATTTATGCGGAGACTTTCTAAGAATCACAACTCCAACTCCACCAAATTATGTTTAAAAATTAGATCCTTCCCTCAGCATTGCACTTTAGCAATTCTTTATGTCATCTGGGTCCAAGACCTTTTATGATATGTGGATAGATGGCAGATGATTGATAGATAAATAATAGATTAGTAGATGGACGATAGATAGGGGGTGATAGATAATAGATGGATAGATCCTAGATAGACAGTTGATGATGAATAGATTCCACAGAAAGGAGAGAAAGAAAAAAGGAAAGAAAGACAGACCTAAAGACGACCTCCATCACCAGGCAGAGGCATTCCAGGTGCGGGGACCAGATCCCAACCCTCGACTCCAAATCAGGCTTCCGGGTGCAAGTGCTTGAGTCCGACCGGGTCTCCAGATCTGGGCGGACCTGAGCCCAATCTGCGTCTTCACACCTGGACTTCCCAGGCGCTGGGCCCTGAGCCTGACCGGTCACCTGGCCGAGACTTCCTAGTGCTGCGGCCACTAGCGGCCAGAAGTCGTCAGCTGGGCGCCGAGAAGCTCGGCGTCAGTAGGTTCACTTTCCGTTCCATTCAGCACAGACCAGTCCCGGCTGGGATGGCCACGCGGTGCGGGTGTGTTTACTTGGGTGTGTGATGGAGGTAAGTCTGCGAGACAGACACGCAGGGAACCCGGCGTCTAGGCCTCGCCGGTAGGGTGTGGTGACAGCCAGCGGTTCCGCCCGACCTTTCCAGGGACTGGCCTCGGACTCGGGTCCAGGTGCGCGCCCGGCAGGCGGCGATCCCTGGGTGGCCAGGAGGGAGCCCCACGCTTCCCGGGGTCAGGACCACGGACAGCGCGCCCTGCATTAGCCGGGCCGAGTGAGGGTTTTCTGGGAAGGGAGAAAGCAGGGCAGGAAATCCTTTCACGGTACCTGGAGTTGGCGATGTGTGTGTTTGGTTCACTTTTTTTTTTTTTTTTTTTTTTTTTTTTTTTAAAGCCTGAGATACGGGACACACTGTTTCTATCTGATTGAATGCAGGCTGGAAAGCGGGCTCGACCCCATCGGGGAAATACTTCACGTCCGACTGCTGGTGCGCCCGCGTTTGCCCGGCACCGCACCGCGGGGGCAGGGGACAGGGGAGGCCAGTCTCCCGCTGCCCAGCGAGACCGCCAAAGGGGATTCGCATGACCCGAATTCCCGCGCGTTTTCTCAAATCGTTTGGGAGAAATGTAGCTCTTCTATACCGAGATTAGGTCAGACCAGGTCTCCAATTCTGTGTACTTTGAGAGGACAAAGGGATCCGAGGCAGAGACTGTGGTGTGTGCTGTTAATAAAAGAGCTATCAGTTGCCTACATGTTTTTATGTTTATTTATTATGTCACCCTGAAGATTATGGCCCGACTCTGTCTTCAGCCTCGTTTTCACATTTCACAGCTCCTTTCTCTCCAACACACTGTCCTGTTTGCAATCTCTCTAGTTCACCATGGATTTGTGCACATGTTATTGTCCCTCCTTAAATGCTCTTCTTTACTGATTAGTGTTTTTTCAATCTTCACTTTTTTATAAAGAACTCCCCAAAACTTTCTAGATAAATCTTCATTATTTCTCTTAGCACTATACCCTTCTCATTGCAAATTTTAAAAAAATATATTTTATTGATTTTTTACAGAGAGGAAGGGAGAGGGATAGAGAGTTAGAAACATCCATGAGAGAGAAACATCCATCAGCTGCCTCCTGCACACCCCCCACTGGGGATGTGCCCGCAACCCAGGTACATGCCCTTGACCGGAATCGAACCTGGGACCCTTAAGTCCGCAGGCCGACGCTCTATCCACTGAGCAAAAACTGGTTAGGGCTCATTGCAAATTTTGTGTTAATTTGCACGATGGCTCGATTTCTCTGTCGCTCTCACTAGAATATAATTTCCAAGAGATGTAGTGCCCTGTTTTGTTAATCTATGAAACCCTAGTACCCAGTGCCTAGTACACACAATAAATCCTTTTAAAATAGATTTTTATTGCTTTCAGAAAGGGAGAGGGAGAGAGAGAAACATCAATGATGAGAGAGAATGTGGGTTTGATTCCCATAAAGGCCACAGGTGTGTTTATGTTTAGAGAAACTCGATTCTTAACCGGTAAAAAGCAGAGACTGACTCACTAACCTATTCCGTGCCATGTTCTCAGAGTTCCCGTCCATCGCTCATGCTATCCTTTAATCCACTCATGACCCAACTCAGTGCCCCTAAATTCGACATGTTCCCGACAGTGTTTCCTTCTATTTCCTCCGGGAGCAGTGGCTGAGCACAGAGTTGAGGGGGCCGAGGACTCAAAAGTGGGAGCTTTGTCTGCCCCGTGGAAAAAGAAAAGAAGCGGAAAGGATAGATGGCAACTTCTTAAAAAGCTTATTCCATTTTAATGGTCTTTCCAAAGCACCAACTAATCTACTTTTTAAATCAACAAGAGATACGGCGTAAAGGAAAGTTCTTAAAAGGTTGTTCTTTCCATGTCTCTGAAGACTCTGATTTAACCAGCAGCCCACATGGCCCGGGAGGAAGCACCGGGAAAGATGCCTGGTTTCCGACGCTTCCTCTCCCTACACGTCTTCCCAGGAGACTCCGATGTACAAACTGTTGGCCGGCACGTGACAAGAAATCGCCCCCCAATTGATCCTGGAGAAGGAAGAGCAGACAGACAGACCTTCATGCCTAGGTCAAGGGGCTTGGGAGAAAGGACTATGTCACCACAGAATTTAGAGTGGGGTTCCTGCATCTGGGCCCCATGGTGTAATGGTTAGCACTCTGGACTCTGAATCCAGCGATCCGAGTTCAAATCTCGGTGGGACCTTCTTTTGTTTTTGGTCCTTATTTGAACTGCACTTCCTCTCTGCAACCCATTCTCTTATTCGTACAAATCCCCGCACCCAAGTTTATTTCTGATTCTCCCACCTCACACTTTCTGAGCCCGGTGTCTGCAGTCACCCAGCCAAAGGACAACTTAACACTTGCTGGGCGCAATTTA